CCTTGGCTCAGCCACAGATGATGGTTGTATCTGATGTGGCTGACATGTTTGTGCCACTGCTGGATGGCTTCCTGGTCAATGTCAATGAGTCCCGGGCAGTTATCACCAGGTAAGAGCCAGGGGGTGGAGATGAGAGAGAGTGGGAGGGTACACTCAGAAGGCCAGGGAGTTGAGCAGAGGGTTAGTAGATGGACAAGGATGTGGTCCGGGAGTTTTCAGTCTGGGAGCCAGATACCTATTTATCCCAGGAATTGAAAATGGAGGTAGCTAAAAGCTGGGTGGCAATGTGGGTTGTCTGCCATCATCTGTCTTTTCAGCTTATTGGATCAGATCCCAGAAATGTTTGCAGATACGAGAGAGACAGAGACAGTATTTGCCCCAGTTATCCAGGCTGGGATGGAAGCTCTGAAGGTAAGGCAGGAGTTCTAGCAGCCCTCTCTTGCTTTCCTCTGATCATGCTGTTTACTGGAAAACAGCCTTAGTGATTGATAGCTGTCCAGCAAGTCAGCCCGTTTCACAGTTAGTGCCTAATAAATGACAAAGCAAACGATGAGGGAATATGGATGGATAGAGAGAGGAACAGACGAGTAATTTTCTGTTTTTCCCTAGGCTGCCGAGTGTGCAGGAAAGCTGTTTGTGTTCCACACATCCTTGCCCATTGCCGAGGCCCCAGGGAAGCTGAAGAATAGAGATGACAGGAAGTTGATCAACACAGACAAGGAGAAGGTGTGGGACTTGAGGGGGGAGGGGCCTCCCGTTACAGAGGAAGGTGGTAACTTTCCAGTGTCAACTCTTCCACATTAGCCAGGTGAACTGGGATTACATCTGTGACTGCCAACCCGCTCACAAGATTCTTGGTGGACTTGACTTTTTCTTTCATTTTTGCTTTTTTGAGATTTGGTCTATCCATGTAGCCTAGGCTGGTCTGAAACTCACTATGTAGCCCAGGCTGGCCTGATACTTGTAGTGATCTTGTCTCTGCTTCCTGTGTGCTGGGATTATAGGCGTGCCTGAACACACCTTGCACCTTTTCCTTTTCCTTGCAATTTTCTCCTACTGCTGGAATTACAAGGTGGTAGTGGGTCTGAAGTCGTGAAAGTGTGAGTTTCTCAATTTACATAGGACATGTCTTCTGTTCCCCTCCAGACTCTGTTCCAGCCTCAGACAGGTACCTATCAGACTCTGGCCAAAGACTGTGTGGCCCAAGGCTGCTGTGTGGACCTCTTCCTCTTCCCTAACCAATATGTAGATGTGGCCACACTCTCTGTTGTTCCCCAGCTCACTGGAGGCTCTGTCTACAAATACACCTGCTTTCAGGTATAGAATTCTGGGTGTGGAAATATCTGCTTATGTGTGGAGTGGCTCTTTACCTACTGACTCATCAGTTGGTGCGTGAAGTCGAGCCCGGAGTATAGTGGTTAGGTGCACGGCTCTTCAAGTCAGTCCTGGGCTGAATTGAAGCCCCTCACTAACTGACATAGGAAATCACTTAATTACTCCTCTTCTGGCCTTTCCTCTTCAAGGTAGAGTTTACTAATTAGGACTCGTCTACAGAATTAAACCATTACATATAAAAATACTCTGTGTGCTACTTGATATGTCATGAGTCCATAAAAGCTTCGTTGTCACTGTCATCCTTCCTTTCACTGCTGCTGGGATGCAGCAGGCTTGTAGAGTGGGAGGGCTGCAGGGAGACCGGCTGCAGGGTGAGCTGTGTGGTCAGTGACGGGACTCTGGCCTGGGCTGCAGGTGGAGAATGACCAGGAGCGGTTCTTGAGTGACCTGCGGCGGGACGTACAGAAGGTGGTTGGCTTTGATGCTGTGATGCGGGTTCGGACAAGCACTGGTGAGTTCTGGTTGAGGCTAAGTCTGTTTGAGGCACACGTCTTACCTTTAGCCCTGACCCATTCCTGTGGCCTCAGGTATCCGTGCTGTAGATTTCTTTGGAGCTTTCTACATGAGCAACACCACAGATGTGGAGTTGGCTGGACTGGATGAGGACAAGACGGTGACTGTGGAATTCAAGCATGATGATCGCCTCAATGAAGAGAGTGGAGCCCTCCTGCAGGTGGCAGGCGGGAGACGGGAGTGGGGGGTGAAGGTGCTGGAGGCATTCACTGGGAAGATAAGGGGTGGGCGGAATTGTGAGGGAGGGGTGTGAGTTCCCCCTTTCTCCCTTCCCCTAGTGTGCCCTGCTTTATACCAGCTGTGCAGGGCAGCGGCGGCTCCGCATCCACAACCTGGCCCTAAACTGCTGCACCCAGTTGGCTGATCTGTATCGAAACTGTGAGACTGACACGCTCATCAACTACATGGCCAAGTTTGGTGAGGGTAGAAGCAGGGCAGGGTGGGACAGGGGTGAGAGAAAGGTCCAGGATGGCCAACAGCTCAGCACTCCTGGGGAGGTGTGATGATGGGAAGATGCCTGGGAGAGAACACTGACCAGTGACGGCTGACTCTCCCTCCCGTACAGCATATCGGGGTGTTCTGAATAGCCCTGTGAAGACTGTCCGAGACACTCTCATCACCCAGTGTGCCCAGATCCTGGCCTGTTACAGAAAGAACTGTGCCAGCCCTTCTTCTGCAGGACAGGTCGGGAAAGGATGCTAACAGAGGGGTTGTTTCAACAGAAGTTTGCATTTTAGAGGAATTTTCCATGGCCATTGACTTTATTTCCATAAATCCCTCAGCTGATCCTTCCTGAGTGTATGAAGCTACTCCCAGTTTACCTGAACTGTGTGTTGAAGAGTGATGTTCTGCAGCCTGGAGCCGAGGTCACTACTGATGACCGTACCTATGTTCGACAGCTGGTTTCCTCCATGGATGTAGCTGAGACCAATGTCTTCTTCTACCCTCGGCTCCTACCACTGGTGCGATTGAGGACTGGAGTGTGAGATATTGTACTGAGGACAGGGCCTTTAAGAAGGAGGGGGTGGGACTACTTTATTGCCGACAGTAAGGAATTTGTTTTTATGTACATTTTGCATTACTATCTAGAGACTTAACTTTCTGAGTTTATGTGTGTAAAGGAGTATCTTGCAGTTCTTGGTGACTTTTTTCCTTTTCGTCTAGACAAAGTCTCCCCTGGACAGTACCACTGAACCACCAGCAGTTCGAGCGTCTGAAGAGCGTTTAAGCAGTGGCGATATATATTTGCTGGAAAATGGGCTCAACCTCTTTGTCTGGGTGGGGGCAAGCGTCCAACAAGGTGTTGTCCAGAGTCTTTTCAACGTCTCCTCCTTCAGTCAGATCACCAGTGGCTTGGTGAGAACAGGGTGTCAAGGATGATAATGGGTATGGAAAAACACTTTGGTGATTTGACTCGGGGTCAGTGAAGTCATTATGCTGGTCCCTTTACATATCAGAGAATACTTGGGGCAAGTTTTTTCAGGCTTCCTCATTTCCAATGATACCTAAATCTGGATTGCTCCCTCTTGATGGACTTAAAAGTACTTTATCAGAGTAATGAATGAATTTTTGTTCCAGAGTGTTCTGCCAGTTCTGGATAATCCACTGTCCAAGAAGGTTCGAGGCCTCATCGATAGCTTACGGGCACAGAGAATGCGGTACATGAAGGTAAACAGATCTTGTGTGTTTGGTGGTGGTGGTGGTGGTGCTGCTGGATATTGAACCTTGGGCCTCCTATTTGCCAGGCAGACACTCTCACTAAGCCACATCCCCAGCACAGCAACACTGACCTGATTCCTAGGTTTTTTACCTTGTCAAGTCAGCAAGGAGGGGCATGGGGAGGTAGAGTCCAAGTGCTTTGTTACCATTGGCCTTTCCTCACAACCTGCCTTCTGGCTGTAGCTTATCGTGGTGAAACAGGAAGACAAGTTGGAGATGCTGTTCAAGCACTTCCTGGTGGAAGACAAGAGCCTAAGTGGAGGTGCATCCTATGTGGACTTTCTCTGTCATATGCACAAGGAGATTCGGCAGCTACTGAGCTAAAGCAAGTGGGTAAATGGTATAGGGTCCCAGGCCAGCTTCCAGAAAGTATCCCAGGATGGCAGAGAAAATTGGGACAGTTCCCTATCTTATGAGTCATGTAAGCTGACCTCAGTCTCTTTAGGGGGGGAGGGCAAGATATAAGGAGACACCTTCTTTCTGGGCTCAAATATCCTACCACTCTGTCGTGTCCTGCTGATGGAAGGCGCCCTGGTCCCTTCCTCTACCCTCTCTCTTGCTAATCCTGTTGTAATGAATGTAGTTTATCAGTTCACTGTATATGATCCGGTGTTGGGGGTTTGGAGGCAGCGAGACTCTGGGCGTCCCTTTGGACCAGCCTCCAAGAGGAAGGGGGCAGGCAAGAAGGAGTGGGAATCCCAGGGCTATTACAGGAGGTGGCAAATTCAGCTCCGTGTCATCAACAACTTCCTATATTAGGGATAAAATATACAGGTGCACAAGAGCTGGGGTACAGACTGTAAGTGGTAGAGAGTAAAGTAGTTGGTCCTTTGGGGGCCTGGTGGTCAGTAACAAAATCGTAGTTACTGAGGATGGATGACTATTCTCTCTACTTCCATTGTGCGTGCTCGCTCTCCCCTGCTATGATTGGTGAGCACTTCGTGGACAGAAGCACATAGCTAGAGATGAATGAGCCTGGGGACTGAATGCAAAGCATTAACACCTTGGGGAGGTAGCAGCTTCCTTTCCAGCCGGAGAAGCCCCAATACTGAATGGTTCTGTAGAGAGCCTGATGGTCAACTTGCAATACCTCACAGAGCCAGCCCACATCCTACTCAGCTCCCACCAGAAATACAGCTTAAGCCGGGCGTTGTTGGGGAGAGGCAGAGATAGCTGGAGCCTTCCCTGTCTTCCTGTGCCAGGACTTTACCGGGCTTTGGTATTGACTGAGTGGCTGACCGTTACCTTTCAACTCCAATTGGCTGGGGCAGACAAGGGCTAGGATTGATGGTGGTCAGGCTTGCCTGCTCCCAGCCCGGGATGCCCCTGCTCTGGACTTTTCATTGGTTTATTTTTCAATGCATCTTTAATTTGTAAAGAAATAAAATAAGATGTAACCAGTGTCCTTTTTATTATTTGCGACCTCTCCCAGCCCGCCTGCGGCTGAGAGGAGCCGCGCATGCGCCGCGTGCCCCAGTGGCGTAGGACCTGGTCCGCTCTCCACTCGCTGCAGGGTGGGGTTTCTTCCTGTCCGAGTGGGTCGGCTGTGGACATGGCTGCTCGCTGCACCGAAACGGTGCTGGCCGCTCTGGGGCTGCTCAGTGTATGTGCGGCCAGCAGCTCCGGGGCCGGGACTTCGGGAAAGGCGGGTGGGGAGGCAGAATGGGCGGAGCCGTGGGACGGCGCGGTTTTCCGGCCGCCAGCTGCGCTAGGCGCAGTGGGGGTGGCGCGCGGGCTAGAGTCCCTACCGCCGGGGAGCACGGATACGGCGGACCTACCGGTGCTGCTGTGGTGGAGCCCAGGCCTGTTTCCACACTTCCCGGGAGACTCGGAGCGCATAGAATGCACTCGGGGCGCGTGCGTGGCGTCCCGGGACCGGCGGGCGCACGCCGACCCGCGGACGCGCGCACTGCTCTTCTATGGCACGGACTTCCGTGCAGCCGACGCTCCTCTGCCGCGCCTGGCGCACCAGAGCTGGGCGCTCCTGCACGAGGAATCGCCGCTCAACAACTTCCTGCTAAGCCACGGCCCCGGCATCCGCCTCTTCAACCTCACAGCCACCTTCAGCCGCCACTCGGACTACCCACTGCCGCTGCAGTGGCTGCCCGGGGCCGCCTATTTGCGCCGGCCTGCGCCTCCGCTCCGGGAACGCGCCGAGTGGCGTCGTCGCGGGTACGCGCCGTTGCTCTACTTGCAGTCCCACTGCGATGTGCCCGCGGACCGGGACCGCTACGTACGCGAGCTCATGCGCTACATCCCGGTGGGTGAGAGAGCGGCGTGGCGGGGAGGGGATGGGCCGGGCGAACACCGCAACCCTGCTGACCGCCGTGCTCTGCCTCGCTTAGGTGGATTCCTATGGCAAGTGCCTTCAGAACCGAGAGCTGCCCACCGTGCGGTTACAGGACACAGCCACGGCTACCACCGAGGATCCAGAACTCTTGACCTTTCTGTCTCGCTATAAGTTCCACTTGGCCCTGGAAAATGCCATCTGCAATGATTACATGACAGAAAAACTGTGGCGCCCCATGCATCTGGGTGCTGTGCCTGTGTATCGTGGCTCACCCTCTGTGAGGGACTGGATGCCCAATAACCACTCCATCATCCTAATTGATGACTTTGAGTCCCCTCAAAAGCTGGCTGAGTTTATTGACTTTCTGGACAAGAATGATGAAGAGTATATGAAATACCTGGCGTACAAGCAACCAGGAGGCATCACTAACCAGTTTCTTCTGGATAGCCTGGAGCACAGGGAGTGGGGAGTGAATGACCCCATGCTGCCTAACTACCTCAATGGCTTTGAGTGTTTTGTCTGTGACCATGAACTGGCTCGGCTAGAAGCCGAGAAAGCACATGCATCCTCTCCTGGGGACATTCCTGTCCCCGAGCCTCATATTGCCCAGCCCTCACACATGAACTGTCCAATGCCTACCCCTGGCTTTGGCAAAGTGGAAGAGATTCCTGAGAATGACAGGTAGGGTTGCTGGGATGCCCTGCGCTGTCACTTCAGACTACTTGCTTTCTTAGTGTGTAGGGGACTGGAGAAGACAGTACAGGCTCCTTTGCTATAAGATGTCGGGAGTAGTTGGGGAGCTGGGTGTGGAGGATACACCTGTAATCCTAGTGCTGTGTGGGGAGGTGATGGAGAACCTGGGGCCGGGCTATGAAAAGCCTAATTGCCAACCTGAGGATCATCACCTCAACTGAGTGCCTTTGATGCGGAGGTGGGGAATACAAAGATGGATTTTGGCTGTGTCCGAGATTAAGCCCAGGGCCTTCTGAGAGTACTTTTTCACCCAGTCACACCTCAGCCCAGTAAAGGACTACCCCACCTCAGTAATCAACCCAACATACTAGAGTCACTCTGTAGCCTGGACTGATCTCAGACTTGTAGTAATTCTCCTGTGTCAGCCTCCCAAGTGCTGAGATTATGGAGTGAAAAGAGAAACCCTGGAGACAGGGTTTCTCTGTATAGCTTTGCGCCTTTCCTGGATCTCTCTCTGTAGACCAGGCTGGCCTTGAACTCACAAAGATCCGCCTGCCTCTTCCTCCCAAGTGCTGGGATTAAAGGCGTGCGCCACCACCGCCTGGCTAGACCTTCTTTATATGTGATGAAGTCAGGGCCTTGAGTATGCTAAGCAAGCACTCTACCGTTGATCGACATCCCCAGCTCTCCCTTTTCTATGCCGATTTGGATCATATCCTGATTTGTTTACTCTAGACAGAATTGAAGGAATGCTTTCAATGGACGGATAATTGACATTGGCAGTCAGTGTGGGGTAAAGTGAGTAGGAAGCAGAATATACCTGCATTGGGGAACTGTTGAAGCCGCCTGCAGCAAGCCACCACCGTCAACCTGGAGAGGGGTTACTAGAGTGGCTCACAGAAAAAGACTTCAACAGTGGACGGCAGCAGAGGGCTGCTTTCATATGCTGCTGGTACAGTAGGGGCCTCATGGCAGAAGCTTTCCCTAAGAATCTTAGCAGTTTATGCTGAATACATTATGATTTACTTGAAGAAAAAACATTAAGGAAATAGCCAGGGGTGGTAGTGCATACTTGTAATTCTAATGCCAAAGAGACAGAGGCAGGAGGATCAGGAATTCAAGGTCATAGTTGGCCATGTGCAGTGAGTTTGAGCGATCCTGGGCTATTTGAGACCACCGTTCCCCTGACAAAACTAAATTTAGATTGTGCCTTTCTATACACTAGATCTCATTGCATCTTCATTTGGGTTTGTTTTTTTTTTTTGTTTTTTTTTTTTTTTGGTTTTTCGAGACAGGGTTTCTCTGTGTAGCTTTGCACCTTTCCTGGAACTCACTCTGTAGTCCAGGCTGGCCTTGAACTCACAGAGATCCGCCTGGCTCTGCCTCCCGAGTGCTGGGATTAAAGGCGTGCGCCACCACCGCCCGGCTCATTTGGGTTTTTAAGTAACAGTGAAGGTTAAAACCCTCTAAAGGCCCCTCACTGCACCTTGCTGTCTTCTAGAATACTACTTACATGCTCTGAATCCTCCTGAGACCTTTGTACTCCCTCCACATTTGGGAGCTAGAGGCACGTGAGCAATGTTAGCTCCTTGGGTGGGCTATGATGTCTTTATGTTTATGACCTACTTCCTGTCTCTTGGGCTAGTGTTAGTTTTACTCCATCTCCTTTCCTTCACAGCCGAGCCTGGTCCGGCTTAAATTTGTTTGTTTTTTGAGACAGGGTTTCTCTGTGTAGTCCTGACTGTCCTGAAACTGTCTCTGTACACCAAGCTGGCCTTGAACTCAGATATCCCCCTGCCTCTGCCTCCTAAGTGCTGGGATGAAAGGTGTGTGTTATCACCACCCAGGCCTGCAACCACTCAAGGGCAGAGCCTGTTACCGCTGTGGTTCCCCGATTCACTGTGGCCCCATTTTGTCGTTTCAGCTGGAAGGAAATGTGGCTACAAGACTATTGGCAAGGTCTCTATCAGGGGGAAGCACTCACTGCCATGATCCACAACAACGAAACACAGCAGAGCAAGTTTTGGGATTATGTACATCAGATCTTCATGAGAAGGAATAAAAATCTCTAACTGCCCTTGCGAGAGCCTTTAGCTTGGAAGACATATGGAAACTGTTTTACCGTGACACCTAAGGCACATCCACTGCAACCCTGAGGGAATATTGTCTACCTTGATGTATTCATTGATTCTCCGGCCCTGTACTGGGGATGGAACCTGAGGTTTTGAGAATGCTAGGCAAGTACCCTTAGCCCTCTCCACTGTACCTGAATGCTATGGAGCCAGTGTCTCAGCCTATGGTAATAGAGCTTCTCCTTAAGGAGAGGCAGAATCCAGAAGCATCCATGTGACTCAAGGATGTCTGTAGCCATTTCATCATTTCAAACGTGGACAGGATGGGTCAGGCTATGATCTAAAACGTCTGTCCTTTAGTACCTTTTTCAGTAGTGTCTGTTCCTCATCTTGCTTTTCTTATCAGCTGTTACACTGGTGGAGAAGCAAAAAGGGGGTGGGGGTGGGGTAGGGGCTATTCTTTTTTCTGCTTTTTTTTTCCTTTTGAGATAGGTCTCACTACGTGGCCCACGCTAGCTGCCAACTCCTGGGCCTAAGTGACAATGCCAGCCTCAGCCTCTAAATAGCTGGGGCTGTAGGTATACAACACTATGCCCAGCTCTTCAAGTTACTTTAAGAAATATTTACACTGTCTTTAGAATCAATTTTTTTTTTTTTAATTTTAAGTGGCTCTTTCTTTCTGGCTTTAGGCTATTTCCCATAAACATTGGGAAGACTGACGAACATTTCCATCATTCTTACTGCTTGGTTTTCTTGTTTAGAGAATATTTGGAATTCCTTCTCTCATGAACAGATTAAGTAGCTGTTCTAATAAGACACTAATGTCAGTTCAATATATTGCCCTGTCAGAGGGCTGGAAAGACCCATTCAATCCATTACTCACATTCTTCCAGATAACTTTATGGTGCTGAGTCTCTGTTTTTTGTGGTTCTGGGGAAGCAAGCACTCTACCAACTGAGTTATAGCTGCAACCCTAGTACTGAGATTTTTTTCTTTTATGAAGCCATCCCAAGGCCCCCAATACAAAGAGATTGAAGAAGGCAAGGGATTTAAGCCACCATATGTGGCTAGCTAAATAAAAACTTTAGATTTGGGGCTGGAGAGCACTGGCTGCTCTTCCAGAGGGCCCAACTTTGATTCCTAACACACACATAGCAGCTCACAACTGTCTGTAACTTCAGTTACAGGGGAATTCAATCCCTCTTCTGGTCTCTATGGGCACCAGGCACGAATATGCTACACAGACATTCATGCAGGTAAAACACCCATATATATCCACAGCACCAAAAACTTTAGATTTGGAGATGCAGACCAACTGTCTCCTGCTGTAGCTTGACCAGGAGACAGATGTTTTCTGGAATAATAAGAAAGAATGCCTTGGACCTTAGAGCTATGCTTATTGTGTTAGTTAGTGAATTATCACTAAAGAAATCTTATGACTTATTGGTATCTGATTGTAAACTATAGATATCTGAATCCACGTCTATCCTGATAGATACATACGCATGTCAGATGCTTCAGCAACCAGGCTGCATAATTAATATTGTGATATCTAAGGCTGTGACCAAGAAAAGCTTTAGCACAGGTTGGAATTACATTTCTAAAGTTTTTTTCTTCATGGTGTGTGTTGCTGAGATGGATTCCAAGTCCCTATGCATGCTAAGCATGTGCCCTGGCTCTATCTCTGAGTTATATTCCCAGACCTTTATTTTATTTAGTTAAAAATGCCTTCATAGTAGCATGAAAATTACTTAACCCATTTGGTCTCTTACAGAGAACAAGAGAGAAAGGCTACAATAGCCAGCCTCTGTCTCAAACAACAACAACAAAACTTTTATAGTATAGATGGGCATGGTTGCACACACTTTAGTTTCAGTATTCCAGTATTTTGGGAGGCAGAAGCAAGTGGATCTCTGTGAGTTTGAGAGTAGGTCTATTTAGTGTTCCAGGCCAGTCACAGCGATATAGTGAGACCCTATCTCAATAGGTGGATGGACGGACGTACGGATAGATGGACGGATGGATAGATGGATGGATGGATGGATGGATGATAGATGCTGATTCCTACAGCAAAGTAACTATTATACAAGTGCAAATCTAGATTAGAACTTCAGATGTCCTATGAGCAACAAGAAAGGTAAGTGATGGTTATGCAAAATGCCGGCTCCTGTCCATGCTACCACTCACATGAACACTCCTTCTGTGCACAAAGTGAGCCAGTTGTTCAGAAATGGTTGTTGCTGGACAACCAGACTCGCTTTTTGCTTGGTGCTTCCCAGCCTCTTTATCCCTACCATTATGTAGATAATCATAAAAGACCAGGGCAAATCAGGTGCTACATTTCCAAATGGGAAGAACTGTGAATAACCACATAGTACTTACCAAGGAAAAAGCTTTACTTTCCATGTGGAGAAAGCAATTTTTTTTTTCTGGCTTGGGGCTCAGCTACACTATCTACAGCATCAGCTATTTGCTGCAGGTATTGGGCACTAGTGGTAGAAGTTTCCGATAGGAGAATGTGAGGTAGAACATAAGGCTGATGGTGAGGGTTACTATCATTTATTATCCTCTCAGGTTTCATCTTATACAATAAACTGCTTTCTACATAGTGTCTTTACCCGATTACTTTTTCTTTTCATTACATTTGTTTATTATGTGGACGTGTATGGTAGCTTGTTCTTCCTGTACATGTGTATGCCAGAAGACAATCTGCAAGAGTCAGTTTTCTTTCTACCATGTGGTCCCAGGGACTGAATGCATGTCATCAGGCTTAGTGGCAGCACCTTTATTCACCCACTGAGCTATTTTGCTGGCCTCTATTTGCTTACTTTTGGGGGTGGGGGATGGTAAAAAATAAACGTTTATTCATTTAACATTTTTTTTGTTTCATTCTTTCATTTTCTCCTTTTCCTTTTTTTTTTTTTTTTTTTTTTTTTTTTTTGAGGCAGGGTCATGTTATGTGACCCTGGCTTGCCTGGTACTCATGTAATGTAGGCTGGCTTCAAACTCATAATCTGCCTCCTGCCTCAGCTTCCCAAGTGCTTGGATTACAGGCATATGCCACATTTGGCATAACTACTATTTACTGGGATTTAGCAATGAACAAGATACACAAAGGTTCCTCTCGTTTTAAATAATTTTTTTTTTCGAGACAGGGTTTCTCTGTGTACATTTGGTGCCTGTCCTGGATCTCGTTTTGTAGACCAGGTTGGCCTTGAACTCACAGAGATCCGCCTGGTTCTGCCTCCCGAGTGCTGGGATTAAAGGCATGCGCCACCGCCACCTGGCTTAAATAAAAATTTTTAAAGATATTTAAATTTTTTTGTTGTTGTTGTTTTTTGGGACAGGGTTTCTCTGTGTAGCTTTGGTGTCTGTCCTGGAACTCACTCTATAGTCCAGGCTGGCTTCGAACTCACGTGTGTTGCCTATGGAGGCCAGAAGAGGGCATCCCCTGCACATCAGATGGTGGTGAGCCTTGCCAAGTGGATGCTGGGAACCAAACTCTTGAGTCCTCAGCCGGAAGCACTCTTAACCATGGAGCTATGTTGGGGGAAATAGGTAACAATAAATTCAGACTGTGATTGGTGCTGGTAGAGAGTGGGGACAGGGAAAACTCTGATGTGAACTGAGCCTCGGGAAGAAAAGCCATCTGTGTAGGTTATCCAGGGAGCATTCCGAACACCGTGGTAAACAATTTCAATACGAATGTACCCATACAGGTACATCTTGCAATAAAATAAACGTCATATAAACTACATGATTGCTGGGTTCCACTTCCATTAGCAGAAATGTCTTGGGAGTTCATTTTGGGGATCTGTGGCACATCTTTGGACTCGGTTTTGTAAACAGCTAAGAGGCATTAAGTCTGACAAATCAACCACAACTGTAGGTCCAAGTCTATAAATAGGAACGACATAAGTGAATGTAAGAATGTTAAATGTTTTATATATAATGCTACCCATAAATGTTATAACCCTCACCCTGTGGTGCGGTCGTTTCAAGTGAGTAAACAGCATCTACACAGCAGTTGTTACAATTAGTAAAACCCAACTCCGGGGGACCCGACGCCTTCCCTTGGCCTCCGCCGACACAGCACTCCCGTGGCGTGCGCGCGCGCGCACACACACACACACACACACACACACACACACACACACACACACACACACACACACAAGCAAGTGACAGCACTCCCGTGGCGTGCGCGCGCGCACACACACACACACACACACACACACACACACACACACACACACACACACACACAAGCAAGTGGCAGCCTCCGACCCGGAGCCCATGCGTCCTGCCTGCTGCCGGAGCCCGCAAAGGGACGGCCCGGGGGCGGCGCACAACCTAGCATCCTAACGTGGGCCCGACGGGGTTCGAACCGCGGGATGTGAGGCCAAGGAAAGTGCGCGCCGAAGCTCTCCGTGGGCCGCACGCCAAGTGCGTAAGGGTCAAGAGGGGTCACGCACAGCGCCGCGGAGCCTACTGGGAACGCTGGGCAAAATGGCGACGCCCAGCTTGCGCGGCCGCCTGGCGCGGTTTGCGAACCCGGGGAAGCCTGTCCTGAAACCCAACAAGCCTCTTATCCTAGCGAACCGCGTCGGGAACAGACGCCGAGAGAAGGGCGGTGAGCACTCGGAGCGGGGCGGCGGCTTGGGTAGGCGGGCGGGAGAGGTGTAAGGTCGGCCGGTGACTGAAGGTCCCCCAGTTCTTCCCTTCCAGAGGCGACCTGTATCACGGAGATGTCGATGATGATGGCTTGTTGGAAGCAGAATGAATTCCGCGACGAGGCGTGCAGAAAAGAGATCCAGGACTTCTTCGATTGTTCCTCCAGGGCTCAGGTGACAGCTGGCTCCTAGGGGTGCCTTCTTGGGAAGAGAAAGGGAAACACAAATGAATGGTTGGCACTGCCTTGTGCTAAGTTATGGAAAGAGCCTCTGATTCATCTCACCCTTGCCAAAGTGAGAAAAGCTTAAGTTTCCTTAAACTAACTTGATAGCCAGAATAGCAGCCTCAGGTGGCACAGTCATTTATAGGTCCCAACTCCCTTTAAATTCTTCTAAAAGTCCCCCCCCCCTTTTTTTTTTTTTAAAGATTTATTTATTTATTATGTATACAGCGTGTATGACTGCAGGCCAGAAGAGGGCACCAGATCTCATTACAGATGGTTGTGAGCCACCATGTGGTTGCTGGGAATTGAACTCAGGACCTCTGGAAGAGCAGTCAGTGCTCTTAACCACTGAGCCATCTCTCCAGCCCCCCCCCCCCCTTTGTTCTTTGTTCTTTCAGGTGTGTGTGTGTGTGTGTGTGCATGCGTGTTGTAATATGCAGGGCCATATGTATGGGAACCAGTGCTGTGTGGTGGCCCAAGGACATCATCTGGAATTTTCCTCCATTCCTCTTCAACTTTATCTTTGAGGCAGGGTCTCTTGGGGTTTGGAGTATTATAAACATTATGGGTCTAGGCCATAGTAAACTGAAGAACTGTTATTTTTTTGTTATTATTTTTATCTTGTATTGTGTTTTCAGAAAGCTGGAAAGATGAGATCAATCCAGGAGACTTCAGAGCAGTCTGAGAGTTTACCTCCTCACAAAATGACCAGGTTGTTACAGAGATTTCCCAACAAATCTCATCTCAGCTGAAAATGGAGAGACATTATCAATGAACTATCATTTCTGAACGCTAGACCGAGGCATGTTAGGGATGTTTGCATTTGAACTACCATGCATTTTTGAAGGGCAAAATGAGACAAAACACTTAATTTTGCTCTTGTGAATGAATCACGTTCTGGATGCTGTCTTGTAATAAAACCCTCTAAAAAAGAAATTGGCCATTTCTTCTGGTGAGATATTCCCTCCTCACACTCCACCCCCATCTCGAAGATGAACCTCTTGGCCTTTCCCCTTTCCCCGCATTAGATACGCACCAAACCGCTGGGCTAACCTTTAGCACTCCCTTTCTTGAGCCCTATACTCTCCTCTAGACCCTGGAAGTTCTTTCCTTCCTGATATGCTCTTTGTTTTTCTTTTTGGTTGTTGTTGGTTTTTGGGTTTGTTTTTTTGTTTTGTTTTGTGTTTGTTTTTGAGACAGGGTTTCTCTGTGTAGCCCTGGCTGTCCTGGAACTCTCTCTGTAGACCAGGCTGGCTTTGAACAACTCAGAGATTTGCCCGCCTCTGCCTCCTAAATGCTGGGATTAATGGTGTACTCCACCACTGCCTGGCCCAAATATGTAGCTAGAGTTTTCCTGCCTGGCCCACAGTCAGGACAAATCTCTATCACCTGCCAGTCCCACAGCCGCTCAGATCCGACCAAGTAAACACAGAGACTTATATTGGTTGCAAACTGTATGGCCGTGGCAGGCTTCTTGCTAACTGTTCTTACAGCTTAAATTAATCCATTTCCATTAATCTATACCTTGCCACGTGGCTCGTGGCTTACCGGCATCTTCACATACTGTTTGTCATCATGGCGGCTGGCAGTGTCTCTCTCACTCAACCTTCCATTTCCCAGCTTTATTCTCCTCTTTGTCCCGCCTACACTTCCTGCCTAGCCAGTGGCCAATCAGTGTTTTATTTATTGACTAATTAGCAACACATTTGCCATACAGAACATCCCACAGCACAAATATGCTCTTGATGAATAAGTATAGATGTCTTTTGTTGCCTTTCAAGTCATTTACACCATTTAATGCTTTTGCTTTTAGATATATAAGGGATGGTGAAGTCCCTCTGTATGCAGAGCTTTGTTTTTGGTTTTTTTTTTTTTTTTTTTTTGGTTTTTCGAGACAGGGTTTTTCTATGTAGCTTTGTGCTTTTCTTGGAACTCACTCTGTAGCCCACTCGGGCCTGGAACTGACAGAGATCCGCCTGCCTCTGCCTCCCGAGTGCTGGGATCAAAGGTGTATGCCACCACCACCTGGCATACTATATGCAGAGCTTTTTTTTCCATCAGCTGAATTCAGTGCATACTTCAAGAATAGTTTGTCCAAAGTACTTGCTGAAGAAAGTGCATAAACTGATGATGCAGAGGTTCTGTAGATGTATTTTGATTTGTAAAATTAAGAATAGTGGGCCGGGCAGTGGTGGCGCACGCCTTTAATCCCAGCACTCGGGAGGCAGAGCCAGGCGGATCTCTGTGAGTTCGAGGCCAGCCTGGGCTACCAAGTGAGTTCCAGGAAAAGGCGCAAAGCTACACAGAGAAACCCTGTCTCGAAAAACCAAAAAAAAAAAAAGAATAGTTTTTAGGGCTGGAGAGATGGCTCAGTGGTTAAGAGCATTGACTACTCTTCCAGAGGTCATGAGTTCAATTCCCAGCAACCACATGGTGGCTCACAACCATCTGTAATGAGATCTGGTGCCATCTTCTGGCCTGCAAGAACACATGCAGACAGAATATTGTATACATAATAAATAAATAAACCTTTTTTAAAAAAAGAATAGTTTTTAGGGGCTAGAGAGGTGGCTCAATATTTAAGGGTGCTTGCTACTTTTGCAGAGGACTGGCGTTGAGTTTCATACAACCATGCTAGGTACCTCAGCTGCCTATAACTGCCTCCAGGGTATCTGACATCCTGTTTTGGTGCCTTCAAGTGCACTTACAGATACACACAATAAAA